GAATGGGATGGACACAATGGGATGGGAATGGAGACAATGGGATGGGAATGGACACAATGGGATGAGAATGAACACAATGGGATGGATGCAATGGGATAGCAATGGGAATGATGGAATGGGATGGAGACAATGGGATCGGAATGGAGACAATGGGATGGGAATAAACACAATGGGATGAGAATGAACACAATGGGATGGATGCAATGGGGTAGCAATGGGAATGATGGAATGGGATGGACACAATGGGATGGGAATGGGAGGGATGGAACTGGTGCTGAGGGTGCTGGAACTGGGGCTGAAGCTGATGGAGTGGGAATGGAATGGGAATCAGTGGGATGAGGGGATTGAAGTGGGATTGGACAGGGATTTGATGATAGGAGCTTGATTAAAATCAATTAAATGATTAATTAAATCCATTAATGATGAATTACATCCATTAATGATGAATTAAACCCATTAATGATGAATTAAACCCATTAATGATGAATTAAACCCATTAATGATGAATTAAACCCATTAATGATGAATTAAACCCATTAATGATGAATTAAACCCATTAATGATGAATTAAATCCATTAATGATGAATTAATGCCATTAATGATGAATTAAACCCATTAACGATGAATTAAACCCATTAATGAAGAATTAAATTTGTGTTTTTTGTGTTTTTTGTGTTTTTGTGTTTTTGTGTTTGTTTGTGTTGTTGTGTGCCCATTAATGAAGAATTAAACCCATTAATGATGAATTAAACCCATTAATGATGAATTAATGCCATTAATGATGAATTAAACCCATTAATGATGAATTAAATGTTGTGTTTTTGTGTTTTTTGTGTTTTTTGTGTTTTTGTGTTTTTGTGTTTGTTTGTGTTGTTGTGTGTTTGTGTTCCCATTAATGATGAATTAAACCCATTAATGATGAATTAAATGATGGCCAATTGACCATCCCCATGGTGGCCATGACCATCCCCATCCCATTGACCACCCCAATGGCCACTTGACCATCCCCATCCCCATGCCCATCCCATTGACCACCCAGTGACCACCCCAATGACCAGTTGACCATCCCTATCCCCATCCCATTGACCACCCCAATGACCAGTTGACCATCCCCATGGTCACCATGACATTGACCACACAATGACCACCCTGGCCATTGACCATCCCATTGATCATCCCATTGACCATCCCATTGACCACCCCATTGACCATCCCATGACCAGTTGACCCTCTCCATGATGACCAGTTGACCATCACTATCCCCATCCCATTGACCACCCCATGACCACCCCAATGACCAGTTGACCATTCCTATCCCCATCCCATTGACCACCCAATGACCATCCAATGACCAGTTGACCATCCCTATCCCCATCCCATTGACCACCCAATGACCATCCAATGACCAGTTGACCATCCCTATCCCCATCCCATTGACCATCCCATTGACCACCCAATGACCATCCCATTGACCACCCCAATGACCAGTTGACCATCCCTATCCCCATCCCATTGACCACCCCATGACCACCCCAATGACCAGTTGACCATCCCTATCCCCATCCCATTGACCACCCAATGACCATCCCAATGACCAGTTGACCATCTCCATGGTGACCATCCCATTTCCCCCTCCATGGTGGCCCCATGGTCCCTATGGACCCCCATGGACCCTATGGACACCCATGGACCCTATGGACACCCATGGACCCTATGGACCAGCATGGACCCCTATGGACACCCATGGACCCCTATGGACACCCATGGACCCTATGGACACCCATGGACCCCTATGGACACCCATGGACCCTATGGACACCCATGGTCCCTATGGACCCCTATGGACACCCATGGACCCCTATGGACCCTATGGACACCCATGGACCCTATGGACACCCATGGACCCCTATGGACCCCTATGGACACCCATGGACCCTATGGACCCCCATGGACACCCATGGACCCTATGGACACCCATGGACCCTATGGACACCCATGGACCCTATGGACACCCATGGACACCCATGGACCCCATGCCCCCCTATGGACCCCTATGGACACCCATGGACCCCTATGGACACCCATGGACACCCATGGACCCCTATGGACACCCATGGACCCTATGGACACCCATGAACCCTATGGACACCCATGGACCCCTATGGACACCCATGGACCCTATGGACACCCATGGACCCTATGGACACCCATGGACCCCTATGGACACCCATGGACCCTATGGACACCCATGAACCCTATGGACACCCATGGACCCCTATGGACCCTATGGACACCCATGGACCCCTATGGACCCCTATGGACACCCATGGACCCTATGGACACCCATGGACCCCTATGGACACCCATGGACCCTATGGACACCCATGGACCCTATGGACACCCATGGACCCCTATGGACACCCATGGACCCTATGGACACCCATGGACCCTATGGACACCCATGGACCCTATGGACCCCCATGGACCCCTATGGACCCCTATGGACACCCATAGACCCTATGGACACCCATGGACCCTATGGACCCCCATAGACCCCTATGGACCCCTATGGACACCCATGGACCCATGTGCCATAGCCAAGGAACCGGGTTTTATTCTGCTGCGGTTAAACAAGTGCCCCAATGGGGGGTAAAAGACGGGGGGGGGGGGGGTTTGGGGTGACCCTTGGGGACACCCCTGGGTGGGGGAGGGGGGTGGGGGGGGGGGACTCAGGGGTCACCCCAACCCCTTGGCCCCCCCCAATGGGGGGATATATATATATATATTTATAACTGCAGTGGTCCTTGTCACCCCCCCCCCATAATGGTACCTCCCAACACCCCCCCCCATCCCCTCCCCACCCCCCCCAGAGCGGAATTTGGGGTGAAAAGAGGCGATTTTGGCAGTGGTGCCCCTCCCCCACCGTTGTCAAAGGGGGGGGTGGGGGGTGGGGGGGAAGGGGGGGAGGGGACATAGGGGGGGCCCCCCCCATGGCCCCTCCCCCCCTTTAGTCGTCGATGCAAATGACCTCCCCCCCCCGCGGCTCCTTCTTGTCCTGGGCCTCGGCCTCGCGCTCCCGTTTCACCAGTACGGGGGGACCATTGGCAGCGGCTGGGGGGTAATGGGGGGAATGGGGGGAATGGGGGGAATGGGGGAATGGGGGGAATGGGGGGATGGGGGTAATGGGGGGAATGGGGGGAATGGGGATGGGGGGAATGGGGGGAATGGGGGAATGGGGGGAATGGGGGAATGGGGGAATGGGGGAATGGGGGGAATGGGGGAATGGGGGGAATGGGGGGAATGGGGGGATGGGGGGATGGGGGAATGGGGGAATGGGGGGAATGGGGGGAATGGGGGGAATGGGGGGAATGGGGGGAATGGGGGAATGGGGGGAATGGGGGGAATGGGGGGGGAATGGGGGCAATGGGGGGATGGGGGGAATGGGGGGAATGGGGTTCAGTCACAGACCCAGGACCCCCACCCTAAGACACAGGTACCCATGGGAGCCCCTCACTGCCCATGGCACCCATGGATCCCTCCCCCCATAGACCCATAGACACCCCCCCCCCATAGATCCATGCACCCCCCACCCATAGACCAGGCACCCATGGATCCCCCCGTGCCCATAGCACCCATGGGCCCCCATCCACACCCATAGCACCCATGGGACCCCATCCACACCCATAGCACCCATGGGCCCCCATCCACTCCCATAGCACCCATGGGCCCCCATCCACACCCATAGCACCCATAGGACCCCATCCACACCCATAGCACCCATAGGCCCCCATCCACACCCATAGCACCCATAGGCCCCCATCCACACCCATAGCACCCATGGGACCCCATCCACACCCATAGCACCCATGGACCCACATAGACACCCATAGCACCCATAGGTACCCATCAGAACACATAGACACCCATAGCACCCATAGGCCCCCATCCACACCCACAGCACCCATGGGACCCCATCCACACCCACAGCACCCATAGGCACACATAGACACCCATAGCACCCATAGGTACCCATCAGAACACATAGACACCCATAGGAACCCATAGACACCCATAGGTACCCATCAGAACACATAGACACCCATAGCACCCATAGGTACCCATCAGAACACATAGACACCCATAGCACCCATAGGTACCCATCAGAACACATAGACACCCATAGCACCCATAGGTACCCATCAGAACACATAGACACCCATAGGCCCCCATCCCCACCCATAGCACCCATAGGCACCCATCCACACCCATAGCACCCATAGGCCCCCATTGATGTCCATAGCACCCATGGGCCCCCCCTCACCGGTGATGAAGGACCCGGGTGGCATCTGGCTGTAGTTGGCCCCTCCAGGGGGGAGGGCTCCGGGTGGGGGGGTCCCAAAGGTGCCCCCATAGCTCTGGGGGGTGGCGTAGGGCCCTGGTGGGAAGGTCTGGGGGGGGGAGGGGACATAAGGGTGTCACCTCCCCATTGAGGGTACCAGTATGGGGAGCACCATGGATGGGGCAGGTCAATGGGTTCCTATGGGGGGCACCAAGGCTGGGATGGCCCCATGGACAAAGAAGGACCCAAGGACAGGGATGTCCCCATTGCATGGCCATGTCCCCATGGTGATGGATGGTCCCTAAGGAGTGTGTGTGTTTGTGGTGGGTGGTGTGGGGATGTCCCCATTGCATGGCCACGTCCCCATGGTGATGGATGGTCCCCAAGGAGAAGAATGGTCCCCAAGGAGGATGTCCCCAATGGATGGCCATGTCCCCATTGCATGTCTATGCCCCCAAGGTGAAGAATGGTCCCCAAGGTGAATGATGCCCCCAATGCATGTCTATGCCCCCAAGGTGGGTGAATGATGGTCCCCAAGGTGAATGATGGTCCCCAAGGAGAATGATGCCCCCATTGCATGTCTATGCCCCCAGGGTGGGTGAATGATGGTCCCCAAGGAGAATGATGCCCCCAATGCATGTCTATGCCCCCAAGGAGGGTGAATGATGGTCCCCAAGGTGAATGATGCCCCCATTGCATGTCTATACCCCCAAGGAGGGTGAATGATGGTCCCCAAGGAGAAGGATGTCCCCAATGCATGTCTATGCCCCCAAGGAGGGTGAATGATGGTCCCCAAGGAGAAGGATGTCCCCATTGCATGTCTATGCCCCCAAGGAGGGTGAATGATGGTCCCCAAGGAGAATGATGCCCCCAATGCATGTCTATGCCCCCAAGGAGGGTGAATGATGGTCCCCAAGGTGAATGATGGTCCCCAAGGAGAAGGATGTCCCCAATGCATGTCTATGCCCCCAAGGAGGGTGAATGATGGTCCCCAAGGAGAATGATGCCCCCAATGCATGTCTATGTCCCCAAGGTGGGTGAATGATGGTCCCCAAGGTGAATGATGCCCCCAATGCATGTCTATGCCCCTAAGGTGGGTGAATGATGGTCCCCAAGGAGAATGATGTCCCCAATGCATGTCTATGTCCCCAAGGTGAATGATGGTCCCCAAGGAGAATGATGCCCCCATTGCATGTCTATGCCCCTAAGGTGGGTGAATGATGGTCCCCAAGGAGAATGATGTCCCCAATGCATGTCTATGCCCCCAAAGGTGATGGATGGTCCCCAAGGACCAGGACGTCCCCAATGGATGGCCCCCAAGGTGAACAATGGTCCCTAAGGAGAATGCTGCCCCCAATGCATGTCTATGTCCCCAAGGAGGCTGAATGATGGTCCCCAAGGTGAATGATGCCCCCAATGCATGTCTATGCCCCCAAGGTGATGGATGGTCCCCAAGGAGAAGAATGGTCCCCAAGGACCAGGATGTCCCCATTGCATGGCCATGTCCCCATGGTGAATGATGGTCCCCAAGGACAAGGACATCCCCATTGCATGGCCATGTCCCCAATGCATGTCTATGTCCCCAAGGTGAATGATGGTCCCTAAGGAGAAGGATGTCCCCAATGCATGGCCATGTCCCCAAGGTGAATGATGGTCCCCAAGGACCAGGACATCCCCATTGCATGGCCATGTCCCCAGTGCATGTCTATGCCCCCAGGGTGAATGATGCCCCCATTGCATGTCTATGTCCCCAAGGTGGGTGAATGATGGTCCCCAAGGACAAGGACATCCCCATTGCATGGCCATGACCCCATTGCATGTCTATGCCCCCAAGGAGCCTGAACGCTGGTCCCAAGGACCAGGGACACCCCCATTCCACCCGTAGCTTATCGGGGGGGCGAGCAACGTCGCTGTATGGGGGTGACTCACCGGCGGCGGGTGGCTCTCGGTGCCAGGACAAGGACATCCCCATTGCATGGCCATGACCCCATTGCATGTCTATGCCCCCAGGGTGATGGATGGTCCCCAAGGTGAATGATGCCCCCATTACACCCATAGCTTATCGGGGGGCGAGCGACGCCGCTGTCCGGGGGTGACTCACCGGTGGCGGGTGGCTCTCGGTGCCCTTGCTGGCCAGGCGGCTGAGGATGCTGCGCTCGGACATCTGGAGGCGGGCGGCGATGGGGGGGATGCGCGAGAGGGTGGCGGGCAGGCGGGTGACGTCCGCCTTCATGTCACTCAGCAGCTCCTCCAACTGGTTCAGCACTGGGCCCACGGGAACAAAGGGTGGCGGGGGGGGGGGGGTGGGGGGGGGGGAGAGAGAGAGAGAGGGGTGGGGGGGCCCCGTCAGCGCCGGGGGGCCGTCCCGAGCCTACTCATAGGTTACTCATAGGTTACTCATAGGTTACTCATAGGTTACTCATAGGTTACTCATCGGTTACGTATAGGTTACGCATGGGGTAAGGGGGTCAAGGGGAGTGGAGGCACTCACAGGAGGGCAAAGGAATGGGGTTAGGGAAGAGTTACTCAAGGGATACACTTATGGGGAAGAAGGGGGGGGGAATGGGGGGCATGCTCCAGGGTGGGGGGACTCGGAGGTACTCTGGGTATGGGCCTTGAGGGCTCTGGGGGTACTCCAGGGATGCTCATTCCATGCACTGGAGCTACTATAGGTTTACACTGGGGCTGCTCTTCAGGGCTACTCTGGGCATGCTCCTTAGGCCCTATAGAGCTACTCCTTACCTACTCCTTGCCTACTCCTTGCCTACTCCTTGCCTACTCCTTGCCTACTCCAGGCCTCCTGCCCATAGACACAATGGAGCTACCCAGGGTACAACACCAGAGTTACTCCAAGCTTGAGCTACACTGGAGATGCTCCAGACTTACTCCTTCATCACTGCAGCCTACTCCGGGTATGGCCCTTACTGCCCCATGGCTACTGCAGAGCTACTCTGGGCATCCTCATCATTTACTCGTGCTTGGGGATAAGAGGATGCAGGCACAGCAGTGAGGATGCTCAGTGCACAGCCCCATCAGCCTGTGACAGTCATTGCTTACTCCAGTGATACTCATCGCTTACTCCAATGATACTCATCATTTACTCCAATGAGACTCATTGCTTACTCCTGTGATACTCATCACTTACTCCATTGATAGTCATCACTTACTCCAATGAGACTCATCATTTACTCCAATGAGACTCATTGCTTACTCCTGTGATACTCATCACTTACTCCATTGATAGTCATCACTTACTCCAATGATACTCATCATTTACTCCAATGAGACTCATTGCTTACTCCAGTGATACTCATTGCTTACTCCTGTGATACTCATCACTTACTCCATTGATACTCATCACTTACTCCAATGAGACTCATTGCTTACACCTGTGATACTCATCACTTACTCCACTGATACTCATCACTTACTCCAATGAGACTCATCGCTTAGTCCTGTGATACTCATTGCTTACTCCAGTGCTACTCATCGCTTACTCCAATGATACTCTGGCCTTACTCCAATGATACTCATTGCTTACTCCAGTGCTACTCATCGCTTACTCCAGTGCTACTCATCGCTTAGTCCTGTGATATTCATCACTTACTCCAATGATACTCATCGCTTAGTCCTGTGACACTCATTGCTTACTCCAATGATACTCTGGCCTTACTCCAGTGATACTCATCACTTACTCCAGTGCTACTCATTGCTTACTCCAGCCATACTCATCACTTATCCTGTGATACTCATTGCTTACTCCAATGATACTCATCACTTACTCCAATGATACTCATCACTTACTCCAGTGATACTCATCACTTACTCCAGTGCTACTCATTGCTTACTCCAGCCATACTCATCACTTATCCTGTGATACTCATTGCTTACTCCAATGATACTCATCACTTACTCCAATGATACTCATCACTTACTCCAATGATACTCATCGCTTACTCCAATGATACTCATTGCTTACTCCAGTGCTACTCATCGCTTACTCCAATGATACTCTGGCCTTACTCCAATGATACTCTGGCCTTACTCCAATGATACTCATTGCTTACTCCAATGATACTCATTGCTTACTCCAGTGCTACTCATCGCCTAGCCCTGTGACACTCATAGCTTACTCCAACGATACTCATCGCTTACTCCAACGATACTCATTGCTCACTCCAATGATACTCTGGCCTTACTCCAGTGATACTCATCGCTTACTCCAGTGATACTCATCGCTTACTCCAATGATACTCATTGCTTACTCCAATGATACTCTGGCCTTACTCCAATGATACTCATCACTTACTCCAACGATACTAATCACTTACTCCAATGATACTCATTGCTTACTCCAATGATACTCATCACTTACTCCAGTGCTACTCATCGCTTACTCCAATGATACTCTGGCCTTACTCCACTGATACTCATAGCTTACTCCAATGATACTCATCGCTTACTCCAGTGCTACTCATCACTTACTCCAATGATACTCATTGCTTACTCCAATGATACTCTGGCCTTTCTCCTGTGATACTCATCACTTACTCCAATGATACTCATCGCTTACTCCAATGATACTCATCGCTTACTCCAGTGCTACTAATCACTTACTCCAATGATACTCATCACTTACTCCAATGAAACTCATCACTTACTCCAATGATACTCATCGCTTACTCCAATGATACTCATCGCTTGCTCCAGTGCTACTCATCGCTTCCTCAGCACCTTCCCCTGGAGCCCTCCATTAAGCCCACCAGAGCTCCTCCGCACATACACCAGAGATACACAGTCCATGCCCCCCTGCCCCGGGGTGGATGGGGGGGGGTGGAGGGGGGTCCAAGCCATCACATGCAAGCAGGGGCCGCCCCGCCATACACCAGCATTACTCCAGCTTTCCTCATCACAGCATGCACCCCGGAAGGGGGGGGGTAATGGGGTACATACTCCCCCCATAGTTACACTGTGGGGGGGGGGGCAACTCCATCCTTACTCCGCCCCCCACACCCCCCAGCTGCACCTTAGCGCAAAGCAAGAGGCACCCGCTGGCTCCTTGCCCCATAGCGACCACCTCAAAGCCTCACCCCGCTTACTCCGAGCTTACTCATAGCTTACTCATAGGTTACTCATAGGTTACTCACAGGTTACTCACACCCCAAAAACCCCATTTTTGGCCATTTCTCCCCACTCCCCCCCCACCCCCCATGCTTTTCACCCCATTTTAACACCCCCCCCCACCCCCCCCACCCCATAACCAAACCCCCCCCCCAAAATCCATCGGCCAGAAAGCAACAAACGCAGAGCAAGGATACACCGGGAGGCGGTTGGGAAGGAGAAACCCCACTTTAATGACTCGAGAAGCGCCGGGTACAGAGGTGCAGGGGGAGCTAGACGGGGCGTCCGCGTCGGGTTCGCCGGGCCCCCCCCCGCCTCTTACCCTTGTGTAGGACGGCGTTGGCGGGTTTGTTGCCCGCCAGGGACTCCTTGGATAAGTGTTGGTGGCTCTCGGCCAGGCACTCGACCTCGGCGAAGCGGGTGTTGAGGGCCATGGCCGGGTGGTTGGGGTCTTGGGTCATGTTGAGGTAAGCGGCGCGCCGGAGTTGCTCCTCGATCACCAGGGCTTGCTCCAGGAGCTGTGGGTAGGGGGGGACAATGGGATAGGGGGGGGTAATGGGATAGGGGGGGATATGGGATAGGGGGGGATATGGGGTTGGGGTATAGAGGAGGGGGGTTCAGTAAGGGTAGCATGGGGATGGGGTGGGGTGAGGGGAGTGGTTAAGGTGGTGGTACCCATCATCAAGAGCACCCGACTGTGGCATTAACCAATAGCACCCAACTATGACATTAACCAAGAGCACCCAACTGTGACATTAACCAAGAGCACCCAACTATGACATTAACCATCACCGAGAGCACCCAACTATGACATTAACCATCACCAAGAGCACCCAACTATGACATTAACCAAGAGCACCCAACTATGACATTAACCAAGAGCACCCAACTATGACATTAACCATCACCAAGAGCACCCAACTATGACATTAACCATCACCAAGAGCACCCAACTATGACATTAACCAAGAGCACCCAACTATGACATTAACCAAGAGCACCCAACTATGACATTAACCATCACCAAGAGCACCCAACTATGACATTAACCAAGAGCACCCAACTATGACATTAACCAAGAGCACCCAACTATGACATTAACCATCACCAAGAGCACCCAACTATGACATTAACCATCAAGAGCACCCAACTATGACATTAACCATCACCAAGAGCACCCAACTATGACATTAACCATCACCAAGAGCACCCAACTATGACATTAACCATCACCAAGAGCACCCAACTATGACATTAACCATCATAGCACCCAACTATGACATTAACCATCACCAAGAGCACCCAACTATGACATTAACCATCATCAAGAGCACCCAACTATGACATTAACCATCACCAAGAGCACCCAACTATGACATTAACCATCATCAAGAGCACCCAACTATGACATTAACCATCACCAAGAGCACCCAACTATGACATTAACCATCACCGAGAGCACCCAACTATGACATTAACCATCACTGAGAGCACCCATGGCCTCTGCGCACATGTAACCCTCCTGCACATGTGACCCTTGTGCACACGTGACCCTCATACACACATGACCCTGGTGAACACATGACCCTCCTGCACACGTGACCCTCATACACACATGACCCTGGTGAACACATGACCCTTGTGCCACGTGACCCTCATACACACATGACCCTGGTGAACACATGACCCTCGTGGACACGTGATCCTCGTGAACACGTGACCCTCATACACACATGACCCTGGTGAACACATGACCCTTGCGCACACGTGACCCTCATACACACATGACCCTGGTGAACACATGACCCTGGTGAACACATGACCCTCTTGCACACGTGACCCTCATACACACATGACCCTGGTGAACACATGACCCTCGTGCACACGTGATCCTCGTGAACACGTGACCCTCATACACACATGACCCTGGTGAACACATGACCCTCGTGCACACGTGATCCTTGTGCACACGTGACCCTCATGCACACATGCCCCTTGTGCAAGCACCACCCGCATGCACACATGACCCCTGTATACACATGACCTTCATGAACACGTGACCCTTGTGCACACGTGACCCTGGTGCACACATGACCATGATGAACACGTGACCCTGGTGCACATGTGACCACGATGAACACATGATCCTGGTGCACACATGATCCTGGTGCACACGTGACCATGATGAACACGTGACCCTGGTGCACACATGACCCTGGTGCACACATGACCCTGGTACACACGTGACCCTGGTGCACACGTGACCATGATGCACACATGGCCACAATGAACACATGACCCTGGTGCACACGTGACCACAATGCACACGTGACCCTGGTGCACACATGACCCCGGTGCACACATGACCCTGGTACACACATGACCCCGGTGCACACATGACCCTGGTGCACACATGACCCTGGTACACACATGACCCTGGTGCACACATGACCCCGGTGCACACGTGACCCTGGTGCACACATGACCATGATGAACACATGACCCCGGTGCACACGTGACCCTGGTGCACACATGACCCCGGTGCACACATGACCCTGGTGCACACGTGACCCTGGTGCACACGTGACCATGATGAACATGTGACCCTGGTGCACACATGACCCTGGTACACACGTGACCCTGTTGCACACATGACCATGATGAACACGTGACCACGACGACCACGTGACCACGACGACCACGTGACCACGACAACCACATGACCACGACGACCACGTGACCCCCCCCCCCCCCTTGCCCCAGGAGGCCTCACCTTGAAGCGCCGGGCCAGGAACTTGTTCTTCATCTCCAGGAAGTTCCCTTTGGAGGCCTCCCCCTTGAAGGGTTCGTTGATGACCCCGAAGGCGCCGTCGTTCTGGATGTCGGTCCAGCGCGCGTAGCCGTGGCTGAGCGCTAAGGACCGTCACGTGACAGCACGCGTGGCATCACGTGGTCTCCATGTCATCACGTGGTCACTGTGTCATCACGTGATCCTGCCCCTAACGTCACCCTCAATGCCCTCCATTCACCCCCAGCCAATGCACGGAGCCGTGGCTGAGCGCTAAGGACCGTCACGTGTCAGCACGCGTGGCGTCACGTGGTCTCCATGTCATCACGTGGTCTCCATGTCATCACGTGTGTCATCATGTGTGTCATCATGTCCCTAACGTCACCCTCACTGCCCTCCATTCACCCCCAGCCAATGCATGGAGCCGTGGCTGAGTGCTAAGGACCGTCACGTGTCAGCACGCGTGGCGTCACGTGTGTCATCACGTGTGTGATCACGTGTGTCATGACGTCATCCTGTCCCTAACGTCACCCTCAATACCCTCCATTCACCCCCAGCCAATGCATGGAGCCGTGGCTGAGCGCTAAGGACCGTCACGTGTCAGCACGCGTGGCGTCACGTGGCCTCCATGTCATCACGTGTGTCATCACATGGTCACCGCATCATCACGTGTGCTACCAAGTCACTCTCATTGGCTCACCTTGTCCCCAACATCCCCCCCATGCTGAAGGCCACCATCGTGTCCCTGTGTCACCACCGTTACTGTCATTGTGTCACCGTCACCACGTCACCATCACGTCACTGTATCACCATCACCGTGTCACCCTCACTGTGTCACCGTCACATCACGTCACCATGTCACTGTCACCGTGTCATTGTCACTGTGTCACTGTCACTGTGTCACCGTCACCATGTCACTGTCACCATGTCACTGTCACCGTGTCACCGTCACCATGTCACTGTCACTGTGTCACTGTCACTGTGTCACCGTCACCATGTCACTGTCACCATGTCACTGTCACTGTGTCACCGTCACCATGTCACTGTCACCATGTCACTGTCACCGTGTCATTGTCACTGTGTCACTGTCACTGTGTCACCGTCACCATGTCACTGTCACCATGTCACTGTCACCGTGTCACCGTCACCATGTCACTGTCACCATGTCACTGTCACTGTGTCACCGTCACCATGTCACTGTCACCATGTCACTGTCACCGTGTCACCGTCACGTCACTGTCACCATGTTGTGTCATTGTACTGCTGCCTTGTGCACCATGTCACTGTCACCGTGTCACCGTCACCATGTCACCGTCACTGTGTCACTGTCACCATGTCACTGTCACGTCACCATCACATCACCGTTATCACCGTTACCATGTCACCGTGTCCATGTCACCGCCATCATAGCACCATCAACATGTCACCGTCACCATGTCACCGTCACCGTGTCACCGTCACCATGTCACTGCCACGTGACCATCACATCACCATATCACCATTACCATGTCACCGTGTCCATGTCACTGCCACCATAGCACCATCAACATGTCACTGTCACCATGTCACCATCACTGTGTCACCGTCACCATGGCACCATCACTGTCACTGTGTCACCATCACTGTGTCACCGTCACCATGGCACCATCACTGTCACTGTGTCACCGTCACTGTGTCACCGTCACCATGGCACCATCACTGTCACTGTGTCACCGTCACTGTGTCACTGTCACATCACCACCACGTCACTGTGTCACCATCACTGTGTCACCGTGTCACCGTCACCATGTCACTGTCACCATGTCACTGTCACCGTGTCACCGTCACCATGTCACTGTCACCATGTCACTGTCACCGTGTCACCGTCACCATGTCACTGTCACCATGTCACTGTCACCGTGTCACTGTCACCGTGTCACCGTCACCATGTCACTGTCACCGTGTCACTGTCACCGTGTCACCGTCACCATCACGTCACCATCCCCACAGCACCATTACCATGTCACTGTGACCATGTCACTGCCACCATGGCACCATCAACATGTCACTGTCACCGTGTCACCGTCACCATGTCACTGTCACCATGTCACTGTCACCGTGTCACTGTCACCATGTCACTGTCACTGTGTCACTGTCACCATGTCACTGTCACTGTGTCACTGTCACCATGTCACTGTCACCGTGTCACTGTCACCGTGTCACTGTCACCGTGTCATTGTCACCATGTCACTGTCACTGTGTCACCGTCACGTCACCATCCCCACAGCACCATTACCATGTCACTGTGACCATGTCACTGCCACCATGGCACCATCAACATGTCACTGTCACCGTGTCACTGTCACCATGTCACCGTCTCACCATCACATCACCATGTCACTGTCACCGTGTCACCGTCACCATGTCACTGTCACGTCACCATCACATCACCGTTATCACCATTACCATGTCACCGCCACCATAGCACCATCAACATGTCACCGTCACCATGTCACTGTCACTGTGTCACCGTCACATCACCACCATGTCACTGTGTCACTGTCACTGTGTCATCGTCACCATGTCACTGCCACGTCACCATCACATCACCGTTATCACCGTTACCATGTCACCGTGTCCATGTCACTGCCACCATAGCACCATCAACATGTCACCATCACCATGTCACTGTCACCGTGTCACCGTCACCATGGCACCATCACTGTCACCGTCACTGTGTTACCATCACTGTCACTGCGTCACCGTCACTCCTCCATCACCCCTACCTTGGTGGCACCCTCCTTGGTGCTGCCACTGGCACCAGGGAGGGGGAAAAGGAGGAAGAGGAAGAGGGAAGGGGAGGAAGAGGAAGAGGATAGGGAAAAGGAAGCAAAAAGAAGAGGAGGAAGAGAGGAGGAAGAGGAGGAAATATAAAGAGGAAGAGGATAAGGAAAAGGAAGCAGGAAAAAGAGGAAGAGGAAGGGGAAGAAGAAGAAAGGATAAGCAAAAGGAAGAAGAAAGAAGAGGAAGAGGAAGACAGAAGGGGAAAAGGAAGAGGAGGAGGAAGTAGATAAAGGAAGGAGGAAGAAGAGGAAGAGAGGAGGAAGAGGAAATACAAAGAGGAAGAGGATAAGGAAAAGAAAACAGGAGGAAGAGGGAAGGGGAAGAAGAAGATAAAGGAAGGAGGAAGAAGAGGAGGAAAAGGAGGAGGAGGAAGAGCAGGAGGAAGAAGAGGAAGAGGAGGAAGAGGAGGAGGAGGAGGAAGAGGAGGAGAAGGAGGAAATGGGAGAGGAAGAGGAGGAGGAGAAGGAGGAGTAAGAGGAAAAGGAAAAGGAAGCAGGAAGAAGAGGAGGAAGAGGAAGATGGAAAAGGAGGAAGAAGAGGAAGAGCAGGAGGAAACAGAAGAGGAAGAGGAGAAAGAGGAGGAAGAAGAGGAAGAGAAGGAGAAAATGCAAGAGGAAAAGGAGAAAGAAGAGGAGGAAGAAGAGGAGGAGAAGGAGGAGGAAGAGTAGGGCAAAGAGGAAGAGAAGGAGGAGGAGAAAGAGGAAGAGGAGGAAAAGGAGAAAGAGGAGGAGGAAGAGGAGGAGAAGGAGGAAATGGGAGAGGAAGAGGAGGAGGAGAAGGAGGAGTAAGAGGAAAAGGAAGCAGGAAGAAGAGGAGGAAGAGGAAGATGGAAAAGGAGGAAGAAGAGGAAGAGCAGGAGGAAACAGAAGAGGAAGAGGAGAAAGAGGAGGAAGAAGAGGAAGAGAAGGAGGAGGAAGAGTAGGGCAAAGAGGAAGAGAAGGAGGAGGAGAAAGAGGAAGAGGAGGAAGAGGAAGATGGAAGAGGAGGAAGAGGAGGAGGAAGAAAAGGAAGAGGAGAAGAGAAGGAGGAAATGGAAGAGGAAGAGGAGAAAGAGGAGGAGGAGGAAGAGGGAGAGGAGGAGGAGAAGGAGGAGGAAGAGCAGGGCAAAGAGGAGGAGGAGGAAGAGGAGGAGGAAGAGGAGGAGGAGAAGGAGGAAATGGAAGAAGAGAAAGAGGAAGAGGAGGAGGAGGAGGAACAGGAAGATGGAAGAGGAGGAGGAAGAGGAGGAGGAAGAGGAAGAGAAGGAGGGGGAAGAGGAAAAGGAGGAAGAGGAAGAGGAAGAGGAGGAGGAGGAAGAGGAGGAGGCAGTGCTGGGATGGCCGTGCACCCCCTAAGGATACAGCACGATGCCGGCCAGCAGCCAGTAGTCGTGGCGCCGGTGCCAGATCTCATTGAGCTTCCCGGAGGAGATGGCGGCGCGCTCCTCGTTCTGCCACAGCGTGTGCAGCTCTATGGGGCGACCCACACATAGGGGGCAGGGTGAGCCCCACGCTATGGGGTCAGACCCCCCCCCTATACCCCCCATTGGGTGTCTATGGGGGTCCCGTGCTCACCCGTGAAGCCCCCATCGGCGATGTTGAACATGAACCGAGGCTTCTCGGGCCGCTCGTCGCGGCGCCCGTTGGCGCGGGGCTCGCCCTTGGGCTCCCTCTCGGCCTTCAGGTCCTCTATAGGGGGGTAAAGAGGGGGTCCCAATGGGGTCCTGGCCCCCCCCATTCACCCCAGGGCCTCTCCCATCAGCAGGAAGCCATTGGGAGCCATCGGTAGGCTCCAGAGTGAACAGGGGAGGAGGAAGGGCAATGGGAAGACACGCCCCCTGTGGAGGCTAAGCCACGCCCCCTGGGCTAAGCCACGCCCCCTGGGCTAAGCGCCACCCCCATAGGCTAAGCCACACCCCCATAGGCTAAGCTTCACCCCATAGGCTAAGCCATGCCCCCTAGGATAAGCTCCACCCCATAGGCTAAGCTCCACCCCCATAGGCTAAGCCATGCCCCCCATGCTGAGCTCCACCCCCCCATAGGCTAAGCCACACCCTCATAGGCTAACATGCATCCCCTAGGCTAAGCCACGCCCCCTGGGCTAAGCCACACCCCATAGGCTAACATGCACCCCATAGATTAAGCCACGCCCCCTAGGCTAAGCTCCACGCCCATAGGCTAAGCCACACCCCATTGGCTAACACGCACCCCATAGATTAAGCCACGTCCCCTAGCCTAAGCTCCACTCCCATAGGCTAAGCCACACCCCCATAGGCTAACATGCACCCCATAGATTAAGCCACGCCCCCTAGGCTAAGCTCCACCCCCTAGGCTAAGGCATGCCCCCATAGGCTAACCATGCCCCCTAGGCTAAGCTCCACCCCCAAAGGCTAAGGCCCTCCTCCCATAGGGTAAGCACAACCCCATAGGTTAAGCCATGCCCCCATAGGCTAAGCTCCACACCAGAGGCTAAGGCATGCCTCCCATAGGCTAAGCCCCACCCCATAGGCCAGGCCACGCCTCCCATAGGCTAAGCTCCACCCCCACAGGCTAAACCACGCCCCCACAGGCTAAGCTCCACCCCATAGGCTAAGCCACGCCTCCCATAGGCTACGCTCCACCCCATAGGCTAAGCTCCATCCCCATAGGCTAACCCACGCCTCCCATAGGCTAAGATGCCCCCATAGGCTAAGCCACGCCTCCCATAGGCTACGCTCCACCCCATAGGCTAAGCTTCATCCCCATAGGCTACGCCATGCCCCCCATAGGCTAAGCCCCACCCCCATGGGTAAGCCCCGCCCCCTGGCACCTCGTTTGGGGTCGGGGTCCCCCGGCCGCTCCTTGGGGTCCTCGTCAGGGGGCTTCTCATCAGCTCTGTCTGCACAGGGAGCCTTGTCGGGGTCTGTGCCTGCGGGGTATGATGGGATAGCATGGGGGCATCATGGGGTAACATGGGGTAACATGGGGTAACATGGGATATCATGGGGTAACATGGGGTAACATGGGATAACATGGGATATCATGGGATAACATGGGGTAACATGGGGTAACATGGGATATCATGGGGTAACATGGGACAACATGGGATAACATGGGATATCATGGGATAACATGGGATATCATGGGATAACACAGGATATCATGGGGTAACATGGGACAACATGGGATAACATGGGATATCATGGGATAACATGGGATATCATGGGATAACATGGGATAACATGGGATAACATGGGATAACATGGGGTAACATGGGGTAACATGGGATAACATGGGGTAACATGGGGTAACATGGGATAACATGGGATAACATGTGATATCATGGGATAACGTTGGATAACATTGGATAACACGCGATATCATGGGATAAAATGGGATAGTATGGAATAATACAGGATAACATGGGATATCATGGGGTAACACAGGATATCATGCGATAACATGGGACATCATAGGATAACATGGGATATGGGGTAACTTGGGATAACATGGGATATCATGGGATAACATGGGATAACATGGGATATCATGGGATAACATGGGATAACATGGGATATCATGGGATAACATGGGATAACATGGGATATCATGGGATAACATGGGATATCATGGGATAACACAGGATATCATGGGGTAACATGGGATATCATGGGATAACACAGGATATCATGGGATAACATGGGATATCATGGGATAACATGGGATAACATGGGATAACATGGGATAACATGGGATAACATGGGATAACATGGGATAACATGGGATAACATGGGATAACATGGGATAACATGGGATAACATGGGATAACATGGGATATCGGGGTGTTATGGGGTGTTATGGGGTATTTGTTATGGGGTATTATGGGATGTTATTGGGTAGTATGGGGTGTTATGGGGTATTATGGGATAACAAGGGATATTATAGGATATTATGGGGTATTATGAGATATTATGGGGTATTATGGACTATTATGTGATATTATTGGATATTATGGAATATTATTGGGTATTATGGGATATTATGGGGTATTATGGGATATTATGGGATATTATGTTGTATTATTTGATATTACAAGGTATTATGGGATATTATAGAATATTATGGGGTATTTTACAGGATATTATGGGATATGGGATATTATGGGATATTATAGGAGATGGAGTATTACAGGATACTATGTCATATGGCGTATTATGGAGATATTACGGGATACCATGGGATATTATGGGATATGATGGGATATTACGGGGTATTATGAGTTATTACGGCGTATTATGGAACATAATGGGATATGGGATATTATGGGATATGACAGGATATTATGGGATATGGAGTATTATGGGATATGGAGTATTATGGGATGTGGGGTATTATGGGATACGGGATATGATGGGATATGATAGGATATTATGGGATATGGAATATTACGGAATATGGGGTATTATGGGATGTGCGATATTATGAGTTGGGGATATGATGGGATATAATGGGATATAATGGGATATTATGGGATATGATGGGATATGATGGGATATGATGGGATATGATGGGATATAATGGGATATAATGGGATATTATGGGATATGATGGGATATTATGGGATGTGCGGTATTATGAAATGGGGATACGATGGGATATAATGGGATACAATGGGTTATTATGGGATATGGGGTATTATGGGATGTGCGATATTATGAGATGGGGATATGATGGGATATTATGGGAGACGTTGGGATATAATGGGATATTATGGGATGTTATGGGATACGATGGGATATAATGGGATATAATGGGATACAATGGGATATTATGGGATATTATGGGATGTGCGGTATTATGAGATGGGGATATGATGGGATATAATGGGATATAATGGGATACAATGGGATATGATGGGATATTATGGGATGTGCGGTATTATGAGATGGGGATACGATGGGATATAATGGGATACAATGGGATACAATGGGTTATTATGGGATGTGCGATATTATGAGATGGAGATACGATGGGATATAATGGGATACAATGGGTTATTATGGGATATTATGGGATGTGCGGTATTATGAGATGGGGATACGATGGGATATAATGGGATACAATGGGTTATTATGGGATATGGGGTATTATGGGATGTGCGATATTATGAGATGGGGATACGATGGGATATAATGGGATACAATGGGTTATTATGGGATATTATGGGATGTGCGGTATTATGAGATGGGGATATAATGGGATATAATGGGATACAATGGGTTATTATGGGATATGGGGTATTATGGGATGTGCGATGAGATGGGGATACGATGGGCTATAATGGGATACAATGGGATACAATGGGTTATGATGGGATATTATGGGATGTGGGTTATTATGAGATGGGGATACGATGGGCTATAATGGGATACAATGGGATACAATGGGATACAATGGGTCATGATGGGGTATTATGGGATGTGCGATGAGATGGGGATACGATGGGCTATAATGGGATACAATGGGATACAATGGGTTATGATGGGGTATTATGGGATGTGCGATGAGATGGGGATACGATGGGCTATAATGGGATACAATGGGATACAATGGGATACAATGGGATACAATGGGACACAATGGGATACAATGGGATATTATGGGCTGCGGGGCTCACTCACTCACCCGCTCGCTCCTCGCGGGCCGGGGTCCCTTCGGCCTCGGGCTCCCTGTGCCCGGCTCCTTCCTCCTCCTCCCCCTTGCGCATCCCCTCGGCCTCGCTCCCCTCCCCCGGCGATGGGGACCCCTCAGGGCCCGGCCCCTGCCATAGGGGGACACAGGGGGCGGAGTCAGCCCCTATGGGCACCCTATGGGCACCCATAGAGGGCATTGGGGGGACCCCCCCCCCCCCCCATGGCCATCACCCACCTCTGGCTCCATCTTCTCAGGGCCCTTGGGGTCCTTCTCGTCCCTGTTGGGGTCCCCATGGTCCCGGTCCTGGGGGGGCCCCGGCCCCTCCCCGCGCTCGCTGGGGGCTGGCGTGCCTGGGGATAGGGGGGTGCAGGGTATTATGGGATGGAGGGTGGTACCCGGCATCCCCATCCCCATCCCTGCATCCCGTCCCCATGTAACCCTATGGACCCTGCATCCCATTCTCATGTAACACTATGGACCCTGCATCCCATCCCCATGTACCCCTATGGACCCTGCATCCCCATCCCCATGTACCCCTATGGACCCCCTGCATCCCCATCCCCATGTACCCCTATGGACCCTGCATCCCATCCCCATGTACCCCTATGGACCCTGCATCCCCATCCCCATGTACCCCTATGGACCCGGCATCCCCATCCCATCCCTGCATCCCATCCCCATGTACCCCTATGGACCCCCTGCATCCCCATCCCCATGTACCCCTATGGACCCTCTATACCCACCCTATCCCCTATGAATGCACGTGGATGGGATGTATCTCATCCTGCTCCCATCCTCATGTCCCCTATATCCCCATCCTGCTCCTTTATTCCTATCCATATCCCATACCCCATTCCCCATATCCCACACCCCATACCCCATATCCCATACCCCATACCCCATACCCCATATCCATATCCCATACCCCATACCCCATATCCCATACCCCATACCCCATATCCCATATCCCATACCCCATATCCCATACCCCATATATCCCATACCCCATACCCCATATCCCATACCCCATATCCCATACCCCATACCCCATACCCCATACCCCATATCCCATACCCCATACCCCATATCCCATATCCCATACCCCATATCCCATACCCCATACCCCATACCCCACACCCCATACCCCATATCCCATACCCCATACCCCATACCCCATACCCCATATCCCACACCCCATACCCCATACACCCCATACCCCATACACCCCATACCCCATAATACCCCATACCCCATACCCCATACCCCATATCCCATACCCCATACCCCATACCCCATACCCCATACCCCATACCCCATATCCCATACCCCATACCCCATACCCCACACCCCATACCCCATACCCCACACCCCATACCCCATACCCCATACCCCATACCCCATACCCCATACCCCATACCCCATACCCCATACCCCATACCCCATACCCCATACCCATACCCCACACCCCATACCCCATACCCCACACCCCATACCCCATACCCCATACCCCATACCCCATACCCCATACCCCATACCCCATACCCCATACCCCATACCCCATACCCCATACCCCACACCCCATACCCCATACCCCATACCCCATACCCCATACCCCACACCCCATACCCCATACCCCATACCCCATACCCCATACCCCATACCCCATACCCCATTCCCCCCATTCACCCCATACCCCCCCATCCCCCATCTCCATTACCGGGGCTGTGTGGGGCGGGGCTGGGGGGGCCGCTGTGCTCGGGGCTGGGGGGCCCGGTCCTGGCGGGGGAGGAGGCCCGGGACGAGCGCTTGGAGCCGGCGGCGCTGGGCTCCGGGGCCAGCTCGGGGAGGCTCCAGCGGCCGTTGATGTGCTCGAACTCCTGCACCTGGGGGGAGGAGCCAGGGGTGAGGGGGCGGAGCCAGGGATGGGGGGAGGAGCCAGGGATGGGGGGGGGGACAGGGATAGGGGTGGAGCCATGGATGGGGGAGGAGCCAGGGATAGGGGGCGGAGCCAGGGATGGGGGTGGGGGGAGGAGCCATGGATAGGGGGAGACGGGATGGGGGAGGAGCCATGGATGGGTGGGGGAGGGGGAGTGGTGGGGGGAGCCGTGGATGGGGGAGGAGCCATGGATGGGGGGAGGAGCCATGGATGGGGGGAGGAGCCATGGATGGGGGGAGGAGCCAGGGATGGGGGGGAGGACATGGATGGGGGGGGGCCATGGATGGGGGGGAGGAGCCATGGATGGGGGGGGGAGCATGGATGGGGGGGGGGGAGGGGCCATGGGTGGGGGGGGGCCATGGATGGGGGGAGGAGCCATGGATGGGGGAGGAGCCATGGATGGGGAGGGGATGGGAGGAGCCAGGGATGGGGGGGGACAGGGATGGGGAGGGGACAGGGATGGGGGGGAGCCATGGATGAGGGGGGGGACAGGGATGGGGGGAGGAGCCATGGATGGGGGAGGAGCCATGGATGGGGGGGGGAGAGGAGCCATGGATGGGGGGGGAGCCATGGATGGGGGGGGAACCCATGGATAGGGGTAGCAATGGGGGGGCAGCCATGGATAGGGGCACCCATTGGGGGGGGACAACCCTTAGGGGCACCCATGGGTGGGGGGGGAACCCATAGGAGGAACAAGGAGCACCCATGATGGGGGGCACCCATAGGGGGGAACAAGGAGCACCCATGATGGGGGCACCCATAGGGATGAACAAGGAGCACCCATGGGTGGGGGGCACCCATAGGGATGAACAAGGAGCACCCATGATGGGGGGCACCCATAGGGGGGAACAAGGAGCACCCATGATGGGGGGCACCCATAGGGGGGAACAAGGAGCACCCATGATGGGGGGCACCCATAGGGGGGAACAAGGAGCACCCATGGGTGGGGGCCACCCATAGGGGGGAACAAGGGGAACCCATGATGGGGGGCACCCATAGGGGGAACAAGGAGCACCCATGATGGGGGGCACCCATAGGGGGAACAAGGAGCACCCATGATGGGGGGCACCCATAGAGGAGAACAAGGAGCACCCATGGGTGGGGGGCACCCATAGAGGGGAACAAGGAGCACCCATGGGTGGGGGGCACCCATAGGGGGGAACCAGGAGCACCCATGGGTGGGGGGGGAACCCATAGAGAGGAACAAGGAGCACCCATGGGTGGGGGGCACCCATAGGGATAAACAAGGAGCACCCATGTGGGGGGTGGGGGGGGGTGTGGGGGGTGGGGGGGGGTGGGGGGGTGGGGGGACAAGGAGCACCCATGGGTGGGGGGCACCCATAGGGCTGTGTGTGGGGGGCACCCATAGGGGGGGGGCACGATGGGGGGTGGGGGGGGGCACCCATGGGTGGGGGGCACCCATAGGGTTATGGGGGGGGTGTGGGGCACCCATGGGTGCTGGTACCTTCTTCTTGACGAGGGACATGACCCCGATGCGGGTCAGGACCTGCTGCCGGGAGAGCCCCTCCCGGGGGACCCCGTCCGCAAAGGTCTCGGAGCCATCGGCGCCCGGCTCGCAGAGGTGGCGCATGAAGAGGGATACATAGGCCCTATGGGGACCAGTGACACCAGTGACTCCCAGTTACACCCAGTGACTCCCATTGACACCCATTGACACCCATTGACACCCATAGAGCCCTCCCCAGGCTCGCAGAGGTGGCGCATGAAGAGGGATACATAGGCCCTATGGGGACCAGTGACACCAGTGACTCCCAGTGACTCCCAGTAACACCCATTGACATCCATTGATACCCATTGACATCCATTGATACCCATAGAGCCCTCCCCAGGCTCGCAGAGGTGGCGCATGAAGAGGGATACGTAGGCCCTATGGGGACCAGTGACACCAGTGACTCCCAGTGACACCCAGTGACACCCATTGACATCCATTGATACCCACTGACACCCATTGACACCCATAGAGCCCTCCCCAGGCTCGCAGAGGTGGCGCATGAAGAGGGATACATAGGCCCTATGGGGACCAGTGACACCAGTGACTCCCAGTGACTCCCAGTGACACCCATTGACATCCATTGATACCCATTGACATCCATTGATACCCATAGAGCCCTCCCCAGGCTCGCAGAGGTGGCGCATGAAGAGGGATACATAGGCCCTATGGGGACCAGTGACACCAGTGACTCCCAGTGACACCCATTGACACCCATTGATACCCATTGACACCCATTGACACCCATTGACACCCATTGACACCCATTGACACCCATTGACACCCATAGAGCCCTCCCCAGGCTCGCAGAGGTGGCGCATGAAGAGGGACACGTAGGCCCTATGGGGACCAGTGACACCAGTGACACCCATTGACACCCAGTGACACCCATTGACATCCATTGACACCCATTGACACCCATTGAGCCCTCCCCAGGCTCGCAGTGGCGCATGAAGATTGACACGTAGGCTCTATGGACAACCATTGATACCCATTGACACCCATTGACTCCCATTGACACCCATTGACACCCATTGACACCCATTGACACCCATTGACACCCATAGAGCCCTCCCCAGGCTCGCAGAGGTGGCGCATGAAGAGGGACACGTAGGCTCTATGGGGAACCAGTGACACCAGTGACTCCCAGTTACACCCAGTGACTCCCATTGACATCCATTGATACCCATAGAGCCCTCCCCAGGCTCGCAGAGGTGGCGCATGAAGAGGGATACATAGGCCCTATGGGGACCAGTGACACCAGTGACTCCCAGTTACACCCAGTAACACCCATTGACATCCATTGATACCCATTGACACCCATTGACATCCATTGACACCCATAGAGCCCTCCCCAGGCTCGCAGAGGTGGCGCATGAAGAGGGATACATAGGCCCTATGGGGACCAGTGACACCAGTGACTCCCAGTGACTCCCAGTGACACCCATTGATACCCATTGACACCCATTGACACCCACTGACACCCATAGAGCCCTCCCCAGGCTCGCAGAGGTGGCGCATGAAGAGGGACACGTAGGCCCTATGGGGACCAGTGACACCAGTGACTACCAGTGACTCCCAGTGACACCCATTGACATCCATTGATACCCATTGACACCCATTGACATCCATTGATACCCATTGAGCCCTCCCCAGGCTCACAGAGGTGGCGCATGAAGAGGGACACGTAGGCTCTATGGGGACCAGTGACACCATTGACACCCATTGACTCCCATTGACACCCATTGACACCCATTGACACCCATTGACACCCATTGACACCCATTGATACCCATTGACACCCATTGACACCCATTGACACCCATTGACACCCATTGATACCCATTGATACCCATTGACACCCATTGACACCCATTGATACCCATTGACACCCATTGATACCCATTGACACCCATTGATACCCATTGACACCCATTGATACCCATTGACACCCATTGATACCCATTGACACCCATTGATACCCATTGATACCCATTGACACCCATTGACACCCATAGAGCCCTCCCCAGGCTCACAGAGGTGGCGCATGAAGAGGGACACGTAGGCTCTATGGGGACCAGTGACACCAGTGACTCCCAGTGACTCCCAGTGACACCCATCCCATAGAGTCCATTGACACCCATACAGCACAGTGACACCCATAGGGCTCATAGAGCTCATTGAGACCCACAGAGCCCATTGACACCCATAGAGTCCATTGACACCCATAGAGCTCATAGAGCTCATTGAGACCCATAGAGCCCATTGACACCCATAGAGCTCATAGAGCTCATTCAGACGCATAGAGTCCATTGACAGCACAGAGGCCATTGACACCCATAGAGCACAGTGACACCCATAGAGTCCATTGACACCCCTAGAGCTCATAGAGCTCATTGACACCCATAGAGTCCATTGACACCCATAGAGCTCATAGAGCTCATTGACACCCATAGAGTCCATTGACACCCATAGAGCTCATAGAGCTCATTGAGACCCATAGAGTCCATTGACACCCATGAGCCATAGCTCATTGAGCCCATAGACCCCATTGACACCCATAGAGTCCATTGACACCCATAGACCCCATTGACACCCATAGAGCCCATTGACACCCATAGACCCCATTGAGCTAGTTGACACCCATAGACTCCATTGACACCCCTAGAGCCCATAGAGCCCATTGACACCCACAGAGCCCATTGACACCCATAGAGCTCATTGAGACCCATAGAGTCCATTGACACCCATAGAGCTCATTGAGACCCATAGAGTCCATTGACACCCATAGAGCTCATAGAGCTCATTGAGACCCATAGAGCCCATTGACACCCATAGAGCTCATAGAGCTCATTGAGACCCATAGAGTCCATTGACACCCATAGAGCCCATTGACACCCATAGAGCTCATTGAGACCCATAGAGTCCATTGACACCCATAGAATCCATTGACACCCATAGAGCACATTGACACCCAGAGAGCTTATAGAGCTCATTGACACCCCATTGCCCACTGACACCCATAGAGCCCACTGACACCCATAGAACACACTGACACCCATGGAGCTCATAGAGCTCATTGAGACCCATAGAGCCCATTGACACCCATAGAGCCCATTGAGACCCATAGAGCACACAGACTCTATTGACACCCATAGAGCCCATTGACACCCATAGAGCTCATAGAGCCCATTGAGACCCATAGAAGCCATTGAGCCCCATAGAGCCCATTGGGACCCATAGAGCCCATTGAGCCCCATAGAGCCCATTGAGCCCCATAGAAGCCATTGAACAACTGCCCCATGGGACCCATAGAGCCCCATAGAGCCCATTGGGACCCTGCCCCATAGACTCCATTGAGCCCCATAGACCCCATTGAGCCCCATAGACTTCATTGAGCCCCATAGAGCCCATTGACACGCACAGAGCCCATTGACACCCATAGACCCCATTGAGCCCCATAGAGCCCATTGAGCCCCATAGGGCCCCATTGAGCCCCATAGACCCCATTGAGCCCCATAGAGCCCATTGAGCCCCATAGACCCCATTGAGCCCCATAGACCCCATTGAGCCCGTGCCCATAGAGCCCCATAGATCCTGCACCCAGTGTCCCCATAACCAAGGACATTGCCCCCAGACTCCCTGTCCCCATTGTCCCCATTGTCCCCATTACCCCCATTACCCCATTACCCCCATTCCCCCCATTACCCCCATTAACCCCATTACCCCATTGCCCCCATTCCCCCCATTGCCCCCATTACCCCTTTGCCATCAGCCTGCCCCCTCCTCACAGCGCCCCATGGCCTGTACCGGCCCCAGCCGGGTCCTGCCACCCCTCTGGCTGTCCCCAAGGCCAGGGCCGGCCCCCTGGGGGGGTACAGGGGGGGGGGACCCCCAGGGGTGAGTTTGTGTCGGGGTGAGGGGGGCACGGGCTCGTCCGGCCCCCAGGAACCCGACTCTGCTGGCGCTGGGATGAGTAAGGGCTCATCATGTGGCTGGGGGGCTATGGGGGGCTATGGGGGTAATGGGGGGCTATGGGGGTAATGGGGGTAATGGGGGGCAATGGGGGCAATGGGGACAATGGGGGGAATGGGGGTAATGGGGACAATGGGGGTAATGGGGGTAATGGGGGCAATGGGGACAATGGGGGTAATGGGGGTAATGGGGGCAATGGGGACAATGGGGGTAATGGGGGCAATGGGGGTAATGGGAGTAATGGGGGCAATGGGGGCAATGGGGGCAATGGGAACAATGGGGACAATGGGGGACATACCTGATACCACCACTCTGTGTCGCCCATCCCCATTACCCCCCCCCATTGTCCCCACTTGTCCCCATTGTCCCCATTGTCCCTCTGCCCCCATTACCCATCCCCATTGTCTCCCTTACCACCATTGCTACCCCATTGCCCCCATTTTCCCCATTACCCCCATTGCCCCTATTGTCCCCATTACCCCCATTACCCCCATTGCCCCCATTGTCCCCATTGCCCCATTACCCCCATTGCTCCCATTGCCCCCTTGCCTCCATTGTCTCCCTTACCACCATTTCCCCCCATTGTCCTCATTGCCCCCATTGCCCCCATTGCCCCATTGCCCCCATTACCCCATTGCCCCCATTACCCCCATTGCCCCCATTACCCCCATTGCCCCCATTACCCCCATTGCCCCATTACCCCCATTGCCCCCATTGCCCCCATTCCCCATTACCCCCATTCTGCCCCATTCCCATTACCCCATTACCCCCATTGTCCCCATTACCCCATTGTCCCCATTACCCCCATCACCCCCATTACCCCCATCACCCCCATTGCCCCCATTACCCCCATTGTCCCCATTGCCTCCATTGTCCCCATTACCCCATTGTCCCCATTGCTCCCATTGCCCCCATTGTCCCCATTGTCCCCATTGCCCCCATTGTCCCCATTACCCCATTGCCCCCATTGTCCCCATTGTCCCCATTGTCCCCATTACCCCCATTGCCCCATTACCCCAATTACACTCATTACCCCATCACTCCCATTACCCCCATTGTCCCCATTGCCGCCATTACCCCCATTACCCCATTGTCCCCATCACCCCCATTGCCCCCATTACCCCCATTGCCCCCATTGCCCCCATTGTCCCCATTACCCCCATTGTCCCCATCACCCCCATTACCCCATTGCCCCCATTGCCCCCATTGTCCCCATTCCCCCATTACCCCCATTGTCCCCATTACCCCCATTGTCCCCATTGCCCCCATTACCCCATTACCCCCATTATCCCATTGCCCCCATTACCCCCATTACCCCCATTACCCCCATTGTCCCCATTACCCCCATTACCCCATTACCCCCATTGCCCCCATTACCCCCATTACCCCCATTACCCCCATTGCCCCCATTACCCCCATTACCCCATTACCCCCATTACCCCCATTACCCCATTGCCCCCCATTACCCCCATTACCCCCATACCCCCATTCCCCCCATTCCCATTACCCCCATTACCCCCATTCCCATTACCCCCATTGCCCCCATTACCCCCATTGCCCCCATTGCCCCCATTGCCCCCATTGCCCCCATTACCCCCATTACCCCATTGCCCCCATTGCCCCCATTGGCACCCACTTGAACTCCTTCTCGCTCTTGCCCCGCAGGTCCCGCACGAGCCACTGGGAGGTGAAGGCGTCCTGGGGGGGCATCCCCCACCTCATCACCGCGTTCAGGAAGGCCTTGCGCTGCCGTGTGTTGAACCCCAGTACCTGCGGGGCAATGGGGATAATGGGGGGAATGGGGGAATGGGGGGAATGGG